TGGAGGCCAAGATGGCCAAACTTCATCTCTCATACTTCGGACATATTGTCAGGAGGGACCAATTGTTGGAGAAGGACATCATGTTTGGTAAGGTGGAGGGTCAGAGAAAAAGAGGAAGACCCTCCAGTGAGATGGATTGACCAAGTGGCAGCATCGATGGACTCAAGCGTGGCAACAGTAGTGAGGTTGGCCCAGGATTGGGCAGTGTTTCGTTCTGCTGTGCATAAGGTCGCTATGGGTCAGTACCGACTTGATGGCACCTAACAACAAAGCAACAGCAATTATGATTGTGGTTGGATTAAATTATATAATTCATGTAAAATATCTGACATATTTAAAAATAATCTTTTAATAAATGTTGGTTGCTATGTATTATCAAACATACTTTGAACATCTCTCCATGACAGTAAATATGGTGTGCCACAATAGTTTGCCATTGGTGGTGGTGGTTGTGTGCTGTGGAGTCTGTTCTGACACATAGCCACCCTGTAGAGGCTGTAGAAGGTGTGGCGTTGCGGGTTCATGCACTGGACTGCAGTGTTGGGTTGGACCGCAAGGTTGGTGGTTCATGTTTACCGGCCACTCCTTAGAAACCCTGTACAGGGTCATTATGAGTCAGATCTGGCTCGACGGCATTTAACACCACCAACAAATATTTACAAGAGCAGAAAGCCTCATCTTTCTACCTTGGAGCAGCTGGGAAATTCAAAATGTTAGCCTTACGGTTAGCTTCCGACTTGTAACTCACTATGTTACCAGAGGTGATTTTACCCCTTAGGAGGCATCTGGAAACATTTTTGGTTGCCACAACTGGGTATGTGGTGTACTGGTACTTAGTGGGTAGAGGCCAGAGATGCTTCATATTCTACAATACATAGGACAGTGCCCCCCAAATAAAGAATTATCTGACCCTAAATGCCAGTAGTGCCAAGGTTGAGAAACCATGATCTAAGATGACCTTACTCATGTGTCTGTGGCTCTTTTGGGACAGCTGAGATGGCTTAGGTGACTGAAGCATCTCTCCACGTTGTCTGTCATCCTGTAGGAAGCCAACGTGGGCTTGTTCACAGGAAGACAGAAAGGTGCTCAGAAATAAGAAGGTGAGACCTTGAGGTGTAAACAGTTTTTAGTCCTCTGCTTGCGTCCTGTTCTTTGTGCCATTAGCCATGAAAGTTCTGTGGGTAAACCCATATTCAAGGAGTGGAGAGATAGACAATACTTCTTTTTGAAGAGGGGAGGGGTGGATGGCAAATCATAGTGGCATTGTTTGTTTCAGTTTGTTGTTGTTTTCCAATCTACCACATAGGATGGGAGCACTTTTAACTGAGACTCATTCTGTTAAACTGCCCTTCAGGAAGGCTGTATCCATTTATTTACCTGACAACAGTTGCGTGTATTTCATTATTTCTCTAATACTTCTCAGTTGGTGTTAAGAAGATATTAGCACTTGAAGTCTTTGATCAGTCAATTGAAAGTAAAAGGGTAGAAGAAAATAGAAACTTTATATTAATTCATTTTTGATGTTTCTTCTCAGAAGAGCCCAGATCCACTTGTTCAACAGAAGCCTGAGTGCCACATAGTCGTCAAACAGAACATGTGTAAGGAGTTGTCTTTCTTCATAAACCAGCTTTTCTTACACTTCCTATTTCAGTTAATGGCGTCACCATTATTTGATTACCTGAACTGGAAACCCAGGACTCTTCTTGGAAACTTCCTCTTCCTCACTTCCTTTTCCAGTCAGTCACCAAGTCCTCATTGCTCTACCTGCAAAGGGCCTCTGAGATCAATTCCATTTTGCCGTATCCCCACTGATACATGATTTATTTAGACTTATTTATCTCCTGCTTGGATCATTGCAATAGCCTCTGTGTCCACTTCCAGCATTCCCCCATCTCCAGTATGCTCCCTCTAATACCTCCAGAGGAATCTTTCCAGTGTCAAAATCAGATTAAGTCAATTCCATGACAATAATAATAATAATAATAATAATAGCCATGAATTTAATCTCCTTTATGGAATCTCTGTGTCCTTCAAAAATGAAGTTCAAATGCCTCAGCTAACATTCTTGTCTGTTCTAGTGTTAATGACAACACACACCCCACCAATCTTTCAACATTGTTTGGATACATAGATGAGATACTGTGCATATGCTAAATAAGTGAATAGGCATCTGAATTAATGAATACAAAGAAAATACTGTGTGGTTGGAGTAGGGAATTTGGAAGTTGTAGGGGAAAAAGTTAGCTAGCAAGGTAGTCTGGGGCTGGATCGTAAAGGGCATGTGTATAATGTTTAAGGGAATCCCTGAGTGGTATAAACAGCTAATGCACTTAACTACTAGCCTAAAGGTTTGCATTTACTCAGAGGTGTCTTGGAAGAAAGACCTGGTAATCTGCTTCCAAAAATATCAGCCATTGAATACCCTCTGAAGCACAGATCTACTCTGACACACTTGGGGTCACCGTGAGTTGGGGATACTGTGGCACACAGTTCATCATGTTGAAAAGACAGGATTTTGTTCTTAGAGCATTCTACTTTAACTAATCTCTAGAATGAGAAGTATCCATGGGAAGACCTTCTTTACCAAATGTTTCCGTGTCAGAGAATTCCTAGCTCAATGATGCTTGTCCAGGTTGAACCACAATTTCCTGGCAAAGCTTAATCTTTCTAATATCCTGAGCCCTATAAACCGGCTTCACATTCACAAGATCATTTCTCAAACTCCTCTCATGCATTCATTTCTTTGGGTACAACCTTTGACTTGCATCAGAAAATGATCTCAGCAACATTTTGGAAGCTCATTGAAGGCACAGTCAAGTGGAACAGAATCCAAAATGGTTTTGGTGTACTTGAGCCAAGGTGTAATATTTCTATTCAAGGCATCTCACCTCTCTTCAGTTGTGCATTACACAAATCTAGTAGCCTTCTTTTACACTTATTGCTTATTATCCAGTGTCCTGTGATCTCTGAGGCTATTGAAAATTGATTTGTTCCAGCGCCTTCTCCAGGTGCCAGCCACGGAAATCCGTGGCCATCGACGAATGGAGAGAATTGCAAGCAAATAAATAAATGAACCTTCTTTGTTTCAAGTCTCTGAATCCCACTATGCTGCAAACCTCTTCCTTGTGCATTGCTGTGTCAGCCAAAAGTGAAGCAGACAGAATGGGAATTGAGGAAGGCCATTAGGAGCTGACCCAGCAGGAACCAGATAAAGAAGAGTCACTGGCTCTGCTGAGTGTGAAGGCAGGATGATGTCTGGGGCAGAAGTGGTACTGTAGTAACGTAGCCATTTCATAAACAAAAGGCTCCATGTGGACTGAGTTCATCAGTTTCTAGGATTGTGAATTCCTTTTAGTTGAAACTGACTAGGTTAAGTACAATGGTTATCATTGGGATCGGGGATTTTCATACTTAGAATAAGATCATGTACTGTTTTCCTTGACGGATTTCTGTGTCCTGTATAGACTCATCTGTAACATTCATTTGCTTCTGAATTTTTATGCTCACAATGAAGAGGATCGACATTTACTAGTTCTTCCTCTCCTATGCTAAATCAATAAGCATCCTTTCCATATGCATAAACAAAGACAGTCTCTAAAAACAGGCTGTGAAAGGTGTTATGGGTTATTATTTCATAAAAGGCAGAGCTTACATTTAAGTCTCATTCTAAGAGAGTTGTATGTATCTTTCTGAAAGTAGTTTGGCTAAATGATTCAAGTAAATAAAAAGATCAGTTCAACTATTCATTATAGAATTGGACCTATTGTTGTTGTTAAGTGCCATCGAGTTGATTCGGACCCTTAGTGACCCTGCATGTGATTTTCAAGGAGAGGCTGGTGAGTTTGAACCACTGACCTTGCGGTTCAAGCTGACCTTGCAGTCCAGTGCTTATCCTACAGCACCACACCAGGACTAGACACTCGTACTTCAGATAGCAGCTGGCATCTTTAGGCTTACTCATTGTCTCAATGTCAGATATGCTATGCCTTCTTTCTTCTTGTTAACCGTACAGTCATTAGTCCTTGGCATTCTGCTTCAGGTCATATAAAATCACTTACAGACATTTTCAACACACACACAGAAGCCACTCATGTCATAATCCAATTTGATGGTTTTTGTTGTGTACTTCCCCCCTCCACCCCCCTGCATTGGCTCATGTGGGAATTCTTGTTTTAACTTTATTGATCTGTCTGGTTTATTGTGTGGGGCTATATGGTTCCACATCACATGGGTTGGATGAAGAGTTGCCGAGAACAGACTAACCCTTGGAGAAGCTTTTGCTAGTGGACACACAATTAACTGCCGTCTTTTAAAACTGTCAAGTCTTCAAGTCATTGTTTGCTTAGAATTCATTTAGAGTTTGCATCATGTTCCTCGTAGTGAATTGTTTCCTCTTTCAGTAGCTGGTAATTTTGACTTTGTCAGTTATTAATACAAAAGCAGAATAATAACAGCTTCCTTTCTATTTCACCCTCATAAGTGCCAGAACTTGTTATAAGTGCTTTATATAAGTGGTCTCATTACTAATCCTCTCAGTGTTTAGGGGAAGTAGGTATTGTTAGTGTGGTGCCTTAGGGTAAACACTGACTGCTAACCACGAGGTTGGTGGTTCAAACCTACCAGCTGCTCCTCAGAAACCCTGTACAGGGTCACTATGCATCGGAACCAGCTCCACAACACTTAACAACAACAACAGCAACAGGTATTGTTAGTACCAATAGTCTTCAGAGGGAGTCCTGGTTTGCTGCTGCAGGATAAAAATTGGACTGCTAACCACAAGTTGGCAGTTCAAACCCACTAGATCCTCTTGGAAACCTTATACAGGGTCGCTAAGAGTCAGAATTGACTCGATGGCACTTAACAACAACACAACAACAATATAATCTTCAGAGGAGAAAAGAAAGGCTCAGAGAAATTAAGTGACCCAACTATTAATTGTCAAACAGCAAGATTTAAACCCATGACACTCAAACCTGTGTTATATGCTACTACTGTAAAAATCAAGATAACAGAACATTTACCAATTCAACATTTTTCATAATTCTAAAAATTGGCTCTTCAGAAACAACAGCATACAGTGGCACAAGTTTATCATGTCTTAATTTTTTCATGATCTGAGCCTCTTGAAGAAAAGCTTCTGGCATCATTGTACCTGGTTTTAGTGTTTTGATTGCTACTTTCATGGTACCATTCCATGTACCCATCCATACTTCACCAAAACATCCTTGTCCTAATTTAACTTCAAGTCGCAAAGATTCTCGAGGAATTTCCCAAGCATCCTTTGCTAGACTTTGAGTCTGAGGTTTCACAGTTGGACACACAGTTGTTAACTTATGGCATAAACCATCAGCATGTTCTGTGTAGTGTCTCACCAGTTTCTGCAGAGTATCAAATTGTGCTGTAGTTGTGATATAGTATCCACCATTGTCAAGTTTCCTAATTTTGTAGTGTTTCACATTGTCTCCCCTTACCTCATCCCAATCACGAATAGAGAGGGAATAAGCACCTTTAGTAGTTTCGCTCTCTTTTACTAAGAAAATACCCTTTTGGTTCCCAGGATTGAGAAGTAATCTTTCAGCATCTTTTCTACCCATTTTGCCAAAATACCACTCTTCTGCTTGAATAGAATCTGCAGGAGCTATATAATTGCTAGGGATATAGCCCTTCTTTCCTGTAGCAATTGATCTTGCTTCCCACCAGTCTCCTTCCGTATTGTTAATTATTTGAAATCTTTCACCCTTCTTAAATGAAAGGTCTTCCGTACTTCTAGCTTCATATTCATTGTTGTTGTTAAGTGCCGTCAAGTCGGTTCCGACCCATAGCGACCCTGTACAGGGTTTCCGAGGGTGTAAATCTTTACGGGAGTAGAAAGCCTCATCTTTCTCCCTCGGAGCAGCTGGTAGTTTCGAACCGCTGACCTTAAGGTTCGCAGCCCGATTCGTATCCACTAGGCTACCAGAGCTCCTTTCATAATCATATAAGGCCACAAATATAGTAACACCACCTGCTCTGGAGCCACGCTCGCAGGAGTTGTTGCTGCCCTGTAGCTCGGGATGGCGGGGAGGGGGCAGCGGGCGCTGCAACGACTGCACAGCCGGACTCATTACTTCAGGAGGAGGGAATTCCCGGGCTCCCCACCCCTCGGCTTCATCCTCCACCTCCGATACCTTTCCTCTTTAAAGACAGATTTCACAATAGCTCACTATATGTGGTATTCTTAATATCCCCATTTTTTAGCAAAGGACATTGAGATTTAGTGATGTTAAGTCATTAAGCAAGAGGGCTGGAGGTTGAATCCTCCATATGACTCCGGGAAATATTCATTAACTTGTTGTTTCTCTTGTTGTTAGGCACCATCAAGTCTGTTCTGACTCATAGTGACCCTATGCACAACAGAATGAAACAGTCATTGCCTGGCCCCGTGCCATCCTCACGATTGTTCCAGTTGAACCCATTGCTGCTGCCACTGTGCCAGCTCATCTCCTTGTGGGTCTTCTTTTTCACTGGCCTTCCAGCTTACCAGGCACAATGTCCTTATTAGGGACTGAGAATATGTCTGAAGAATGAGAGATGAAGTCTGACCATCCTGGCTTCTAAGGAGCATCCTGGCTGTACTTCTTCTAACACTGATTTGTTTGTTCTTTTGACATTCTTTTAATATTTATTATTATTATAACTTAAATGCATCAATTATTCTACAGTCCTTCCTTACTTAATGTCCATCTTTCACATGTAAATAAGGTTATTGAAAATACCATGGTTTGGGTCCTAAAACTGACAAAACTTTTCTCTTGAACATTTTAAGGAGATCTTGTACACCAGATTTACCTAATGCAATACGTCATTTGGTTTTTTCACTGCTGCTTCCATGAGTGTTCATAGTGGATCCAAGCAAAGTGAAGTCTTAGAGAACATCAATCTTTTTTTCATTTATCATGATGTTATTTATTGGCCCAGTGGTGAGGAATTTTGTTTTCTTTACATTGAAGTACAATCCACATTGAAGGCTTTGGTCTTTGATCTTCATCATAAGTGTTTTGAGTACTCTTTGCTTTCGGCTAGCAAAGTTGTATCATCTTCATAGTGTAGGTTGTAGTGAGTATTCCTCTTATCCTGAAGGCAAAATATTTTAATCCTCAGTATACTGTTGTCTGTTGGATAAGTGTGTGGCTTGAGCTCCAGCTACATCCACCTTTAGAACATGTCTGTGTATGTCTTATGGGCCAGCCAGCCTGGGATCATCCTCTATTTATACTAGTTTACTTGCGGGTGAGAAGGAAAAAAGATGGGGAAAGAGAATACCACATGATGGCGTTTGTAAACATTTGAATTCCTGATGTGCTTCTTCTGAGTCCAACAGAAGACATCATATCTATAGGTGCTCTGTGAGATGGCTACCGGGCATAGCAGTGCTATGGCAGGACTGTGGACCGTGGAGAGAGAGAACTTCCTTCAGGAGCACACCTCACCTTTGGCATCCAGAGGGTCTACACTTTTGTGAGCATCGAGATGCAGTGTGCTTGCTGTGAATATGCTAGCTTGGGGTGGGACATCAGCAGGTAGGCAACAGAAAGAGTCCAGTCTCAAACTGCATTTCTGGAAGTAAACTTTGACCAAGAGAATTGAAATAAAAGAGAAAGAACATGGCAAATACCACCTATGACAAAATCTCGGGGGGTGGGGGGTGGGAAGAGGCAACCTTCTGAGGATCACCAGCCATACCTGAGTGAGACTCTGAGGTTGTGGGGTGGGGGGTTCCTGGAAGTTCTACTTGGATGTATGAGGCAGGAGCCAGTGAAATTTATTACAACTACTGTGAGCCCATCAGTAACACTGTGGCTCTGTAGGCTAACCACAGGGTCAGTGGTTTGAGCTCACCAGCCACTTTATGAGAGAAAGCTGAGGCTTTCTGTTCCTGCACAAATTTACAACCTTGGAAAACCTATACAGGGTACACTGGGAACAACAGCAACATGAGTCTATTATCTACTGGTGAAGTTTAGGGAAACTCAAGTAACCCAGAACTAAAAGTTACCCAACTCCCTTTCCCAACAGAGAAGATTAAAGAGCTTATCTTATGAATGTAAGTCCATTCAAAAATGTTGTTACTGTTAACTGCCATTGAGTCGGTTCCGACTCATAGAAACCCTGTGTAGGGTTTCCAAGGAGCAGCTGGTGGGTTTGAACTGCCAATGTTGCAGCTAGTAGTTCAGTACTTATCCTACAGGCCATACCTGGACTTCAGAATTCAAAATAGCATGGGAAATAAACTATTTGTAATAATAGCTGAAATAATCTTTCATATATCATAATATTCAGCACTACACATAATTTTTTCTTTTAGTTTTCATTACTATTTGATCCTCATGAATCAATTAGGTAATAGTCCCATGTTTTGGAACAGGAAACTGATGCACAGAAAAATAGAGATGCTCAACTTAATAACATTATTAATAATAAGAACACATAATTATGTCCCAGGTACTATGTTAAGCAAATTATATGGGCTCTTTTATTTAGTTCGTAAAGTTACTTTGTGAAATAAGTACTGTTACTATTCACAAATAATAGGTGAATACATTAAGACTCAAAACAGGTAATTAGCTTGCTCTGGGTCACACTAGCTGAAACAGAGTTTAAATCCATATTTGCCTAACATCAAAAAACATGCCTCTAGCCATTTACTATTCTTGGGGAAAGAGGACTAGAAGTTATGTTTGTGATTGCCTGTAAAATAACGTTTCTATCCGTTATATGTGCATGGGAGTTTTTTTTCTTGCACGTGAGGTAGATTCTCTCTCAAATAACTGTTTTGTGTGTGAGCATTTCATTAATATGCATCAAATGGAAGCATATGATTTTCAGATGGATTCATCTTTCATTTCCATTGCTTTAGTTAATTTGAATATCAAAGCATTTGCTTGTTTATACACACTGAAGAATGAACACTTTAAAAAGAGACAAAAACAACTCCCTGAAAAGATTTTGGCATGTTTTTATGAATGAAAAATAGTTTGTGTGAATCATTCAGGGTCTGTGTGTATTATACACAATAAACCAAATGATTTTAAAAAGTTAAATTTATGAATTAAAGATCTGGTAATTCAACAGCCACCTGTCTGCAAATGACTTTTGAAATAGAAAAATAAAATGCTTCCTATAATCATACAGAGGGGAAACATGCTCTATGACTATGATGAAGTAATGAGATTGAAAATATGTAAGAATTTAGAATTTTAATAATCCTATTAACATATTATTGTTGTTAAGTGCTGTCGAGTTGGTTCTGATGCATAGTGACCTTGTATAGGGTTTCCAAGGATCGGGTGGTGAGTTTGAACTGTTGATCTTGCAGTTCAAACCAACCTTGAGGTCCAATGCTTATCCTACCATGTCACACCAGGACTCCCATAACACATATATATTTTTTTCCTTTAAAATGCATTTAAAATAACATATAGATGCTGGGCCTGGGTCAGGACCATAGTCTCAGGGGACACCGTGGTCAATTGGCCTAACATAGTCCACAAAGACAATGCTCTGCCTCGTACTTTGGTGAGTAGCATGTGGGATCTTAAAAGCATATAAAGGCCATCTAAGGTGCAACTACTGGTCTCTCCCTGTGCAAAAGAAAGACGAGTGATGAACATTTGAAGATGCCTGGAATCACCTAGCCCAGTGGACTAGGGGAACATGTGAACATTCATCACCACGACTCTGAGACCAGATGAACTAGATGGTGCCCAGCTACCATGGCCAACTGCTCTGAAAGAGGTCATATTAGAAGGTCCCAGAGAGAGTGGGAGAATATATAGAACAACACTCAAAATTATAACAAAACAAGACCATTACTGGTCAGAAAGAGACTGTAGGGATCCAAGACTATTGCCGTTGTCCACCCTGAAGGACTAGTATAAAATTCACCCTCATGGCGCAATTTTTAGTCAAGTAGTAGCTAGGTATATATGGGGGAAAGCAACACTAGTAAAATATGCTCACCATAGAATAGTCAGTCATTCAAGATCAAAAGGGCAACAGTTTCCTAAGGATAGAATTGAGAAGGGATGGAAAGGGGATTGGAATGGAATTAGGAACCACAGAGAGGAAGTGGGATAGCTGTTATACCATGAAAGGCATTGCAATCATTGAGATGAAGCAAAGTGTATGATTTAGTTAACGTAAAACGGAAGATCTTTCTCCCCTTCACTTAATTAACAATAAAAAGTTAAAAAAAAATGTGTATGCTGTGCACTCTATAATAAACGAGATGAATTTTGAATATCTAAATGTGTATTTTTCTCTTTGGAGCCCTGGTATGGTGCAGGATAAGTACTGGACTGCAAGGTCTATTTGAACTACAAGGTGGGCGGTTCAAACTCATCAGTTGCTCCTCGGAAACCCTATACAGGGTCGCTGTGAGTCAGAACTGACTCAAAGGCACTTAATAACAACAAACAACAACAGAGTTTATATGTGTGTATATATATGCTGAGACCCGCAAGGTCAGCAGTTCGAAACTACCAGCCGCTCCGCGGGGAAAAGATGAGGCGATCTGCTCCGGTAAAGATTTACAGCCTCGGAAACCCTGTTCAGGGTTGCTATGGGTCGAAACCGACTCGACGGCACTTAACAACAACAACAACAAATATATATATATATATATATATATATATATATATATATATATATGTGTATTTTTTTTTTAGACTAACATAGTTATTCTGATCAATGACACTTAACATTTATTCTGATCATACTACCATTTCTTAAAACACTTTCAAAACTCTTAGTTTTCCCTGAACTAGCTTACAGGGTTCAGGAAAGTTTCATTAATGTATAATTACGTTTCCTTTTTAAAATAAAAAGTGGTGATTCTCCAGACCAATAACCATAATATTTACCAAACTCCATTTTAACCTACTTTTGACCAATTTCAAAACTGAGTCTTGTGGCTTGAATATGTATCATTGTTTAAGAGATTCAAGGGAGTGTGGAGACAGTTAAAAAAGTGTTAGTGATAATTAACTTCACAAGGTAGAAAATGCACAAGGAGTTTTGGGCTATTTCAAAGTCCCCCAAACTACTCTCTCTTCTGATACAAACTGCAAGTTTAGTGAGATCTCAAAATCACTCTCTAGTTTGATAATTTACTAGAAGTACAGAATTTACTGAAAGCTGTTTTGTTCATGGTTTTAGTATATTTCAGGGCAAGGATAGAAATGAAGATCAGCTGAAGGAAGAGACACATAAGACAGAGCCCAGGAGGTTTCAGAACAGAGAGTTCCATTGTCCTTTCTCGTGGAGTCAAGTTGGGTTACATTTCCAGGAGCAATGTGTGATGATGTATACACAGTATTGCCCATCATGGAAGCTCACCGGAACCTCAGTGTTCAAAGTTTTTATTGTGGTTCTATTATGTAAGCATTGATTACCCACATAGTTGGTCTCAGCCTCCAGTTCAGTTAATATGTGCCCCAAATATCCCAAACATTGCTGGTCTTTCTGGTGTGGTAGGCTTGCTCACCATCACTCAGACTGAGTATGGTCAGCTCTCACCCTCAATTACATTGTTAAAACTATCCATAAGGATCCCTGGTAGCATAGTGGATTACGAGTTGTGCTGCTAACCATAAGGTCAGCAGTTCAAACCTGCCAGTTGCTCCTTGGTAGAAAGATGAGACTTTCTGCTCCTGTAAAGATGTACAGCCTTGGAAACCCTATACAGGGTCACTATGAGTCAGAACTGACTCAGTGGCACACAACCACCACCACCACCACATGACCCAAGGTCCCCAGGCAAACAAAAGATAGTCCTATTAGGAATAAGCCTGCAAAGGCCTAGATACTAATCTAGCACAAGTCAAGGGCAAAGACTAGAACTTGTCTTTGGGCAAGGCCAAATTGTTTGCTACACAAATACCCAGATACGTATAATCTGCCCTTTAAAAAAGCAGCATTATCATTCCCACCCCCTCCACACACAGAGTAGACAGGGATGGGCAATGTGGACATTGGCTACCCAAAATGGGGGGTGGGGGGCTACAAAGGCAAGAAGTGACTGGCTTACAAGCTTTCAAGAGGGAACCTAGATCCAGAGGGCCTGGAGGAAGGTAGAATCTCCAGTGAGTAGTAGTCAATCTGACTAGCCAGGGCTGAGGCAATGAAATGCAGATGGGCCTCTTGTGATACAATAGTGAATAATTGTTATCAGGACTGACTGTGAGGGTCGGAAATGTAAAGGTAGATGTTTTATAGCAAGGAGGGGAGTGATTAACCTTTCAGTCTAGGAGCAGAGGTCCCTAGGACCATCAAGGGAGAAGAGCAGGCACCGGGACCCTACCCAGAGAAGCAGTGATGCCTGAAACGGAGCCAGAGATGATGACGTGGAGCGATGGAGCAGCTGGAGACTTTAGATCCAGAGAGGGCGAGCAACTATGTGCTGAAGACTTGGGGGGTACAGGGGAAGGATTGCATGGAGGGGATTGTAACCATGGCAATGATACGATATACGATAGAATGAATGTAGAACCAAATGTTCTCCCATGTAAACTATCACATAATTCACAATAAAACATTTTTTAAAAAAGCAGCATTAGTCCATAGCCTTACATTTGTAGCTTTAAATTAGGATTTTGACATTATTGCATCTTGAGCTCTCTATGAAACCAGAAACAAATTTCTGGCCAGTGTGAGGTGTTCTTTATAGCTCTGTATCACATTAACTGGACTCCTGATGTGGTGCTGTAGGAGAAGCACTGGACTGCAAGGTCAGCTTGGACCACAAGGTCAGTTTGGACTGCAAGGTCCGTGGTTCAAACTCACTAGCTGCTCCTAAGAAACCCTATACAGGATAGCTGAGTTGGAACCTACTCATCGACACTTAACAATAATCCCGTTAACTTTCAGTCATTGTACCTTAGTTATTACCAAGTGTTTTTCTAATAGAAACACTACAAATGGGTGACTTTAGAGAACAGAAATTTATTTTCTCACAGTTCTGGAGATTAAAAGTTCAAGTCAGGACCTTGTCCATGCCAGTTCCTTCTTGGAACCAGTTTCTGGTATCTGCAGGTGATCTTTGACACTACTTTGCTTATGGAAGTGTTCTTACATGTTGTCTGTTTTCCTCCATACATGTTTGTGTTTGTTCTGCTTTTTTATAACTCAGAGGTGATCACATTTCTGACACACCCCACCGTGCTGGTATGGCCTCATTAACATAACAAAAGGAAAACCTGTTTCCTCTTTAGAGGTGCTCTTCCAGACTGATCTGTAAACAGCTTGTTTGAATGCAATGCATTTGTACTGGTGGTATTTCAAACACTGGAAATAATTATTTGGGGACTGGATCACTTCCCAGGAAAGCACAAATTAAAATACGGTGATGACTGTTAACCTTGGGTAATAGTTGGAAATGGAGGCTAAACTCACAAGTTTGAATCGTTAAATGTGAAACTTGGAAATGAGTCCTGCTCCCACTGATTTTCTTTCATTCCAGTCTCCTGAATTCTCTGGAACATCTTTTCACTATAAAGAAATATTTCTTTTTCAGCTCTTTCCATGAATACTTCTACCTCCTTACCTGAGAACTCTTGATACATATCCTTTTACCTGCCCACATTAAAATTGTGGCCCTGCACTCTCTCAGTTGGACAATCCCATGTCCCTTGATTCTTTGTAACCCATTTCCCTGTTTCCTACTATCTTCTTTCATCAACTTATTTTTGTTTAAAATCCATTTTCTCTTCCTGACCCTGTCCATGCTTTAATATTAATCTAATAGTAATACGTATTAGCTGGATTCAGTAGCTCCTTCCTCATCTTCAATTTCCTTGACCACTCTACATTTTTTAACATCATTAGTCAATAATGTTTCCTTAAAATATGTAGTATTGTGACAGGTACATAATACTCATTAGTATTTGTGGATGGAATGGACAAATGATTTGTCAGGGTCTTTTGAAATCATTTTGAACTGCTTTTGATAATAACCAGCTTCAGTTCCAATGAAATCTGAACAAAATCTTCCATTGAAAAGAATCAAAAAATTTTATATAACTGCCTTGAGTCTAGAATTTTCAAAAGAGACAAGAACTGATCATGCAGCCAGGGAATCAATTTGAATGTTTGTTAGCAGCTGCGTTTTGTCTTTCCGATCATGCAATTTGTGCGTAAAAGCTACAGATTGTTAATGTCTGCAGTTTCTAGCTGTCAATCAAGGTCTGCTTTTTGCACAAATTTTTTGGATACTCTCAGTTATGACAAGACTTGATGCATGTGTGTGAGTGTGTGTGTTGTGAGCTTTTCCTCCATAAAACCCAAAGATTTCAGGCAGATGTCAAGAACTACATCAAAAATAACATTAACCACCACAGCACAACAGCAAAAATTACTTTATTCTGACAGATGTTCTCTGAAAGAAGAGATTTATTTTTAATATATATATATATTCTTTTTAGAGAATTAATCTAGAAATGGTGTTCAGTGATTGCCTGGGTTTATTCCAGGTTTGCACTGGCAAGAGCACATGCATGCTGATTTCTTTTTTAACATCTGGAACCTGGGTTTGGTGGCCCAGTGCTTTGTAGAATAAGCAAACCATTCGATAGACTTTACATTTAAACATAGAGCACAACTAATACTCTATAATGCTAAATCAGAGGCGTGCTCCAAACATTCTATAAAATATTCTTTTAGACTGTGAATTTAATGTATTATATTTTAGGGAACAAGTTTAGAATATCTGATGTCAAATAATAGTGCATTGAAAGTACTGACACATGAAATATCTTGGAGAGAGGAAAGATATATAAAATCATCTTAACTTTGTGTTGGCTACACTCTTTCTCAGAAAAGATTCCCAAATGAAAATTGGGATTGGGTTCAGCGATAAAGATTGTTAGGTAAAGCATAAAAAATTGTCAGATACTGTATCATTGTGTGACACACAGGCTTTGTCACCTGAATAAACTTGCACTTCAAATGCCATGTCTGCTGGCCCTCCCAGCCAACCAAGCCCCCCAGTATACACCTTCTCAGCAGACTAAGGTGTTTGTGTCCTTTCATCCTCCTGAGCTCATGTTTGACAGCATAGTAACTCTGATCATTCACTTGTCATTGTTTTCACAACATGAAATTTTTGAAAATTCTCATAGTGATAGTATCTTAATTTGCTGTAGTCTTGGATCTTGTTCAGAGTTTATTTTTCCCCCAAGTTGGTTAGGTTTTATAAACAAACAAAACAAAAATGTATGTAGTATTTATTAATAGTTACCGGAAGTGTAAAAGCCACTGAACAATGTACACACCACCCCCTTGATTCAGATGGTTATTCTTTCTTATTGAAAAGATAATATAATATGTGCACTTTGCTCTTCTCAGCAAAGTTGAATCCTGGTTGACAGACCATGGACCTCCCATTTATTTAATGAGTCTTTGTAACAACCTGATACGATACTTTCACTCTTTTGCTTTCCATCTAATCTCCACAAAAACCAAAGTGATTTTAAGACAGGGTGGCCTCTGTTCCATGCTGTTATTCAGGGACTCTGGTGATAGTGAACTGGCACCTGCACATGTGGAGTCCAAGGGCTCACTAGGTGTCAGTGTTGAGGTGACAGACAAGCAAAGAGAGTTGGTATGAATCAAGTCTAATTGGCACCCACATCCTCTTGGGAGAATTCAATCAATGACTACGCTTACCTCCAAAGAGGGTTGGGAAATAAAACCTCTGACCACTTCCTAAAAACATTCTACCATAGAAGCGGTGTTCTAGGATGTTTCTTCCACGCCCCTTTACACATGA